GACTCTCCTCACAACCTGAGTTTGATCCCAATGGCCTCAGGTGGCCAGCTCGAGGTTCACTTAGCCTTCTGTCTTTCAGACATTGGTAAACTGAGAACCCAGCTCATAGGGAGGGGAGGCAATGTGTAGGCTCCCCGCTTTGCTTTTTGCAATGTGTAGCCTGCATAATTAAAATTGTGAACTGCCCAGAGAGCGCTTTCAGTGCTCTGTGGTGGTAAATAACAGCACACTCTAAGTAGTGAGACCACCAGCTGTTTAGGTAAAGGTAAAGGTTCCCCTTGACAATTTTTGTCCAGTCGTGTTCGCCTCTAGGGGGCGGTGCTCATCCCCGTTTCCAAGCCATAGAGCCAGCGTTTTGTCGGAAGACAATCTTCCGTGGTCACATGGCCAGTGCGACTTAGACACGGAACGCTGTTACCTTCCCACCGAAGTGGTCCCTATTTATCTACTTGCATTTTTATATGCTTTCGAACTGCTAGGTTGGCGGGAGCTGGGACAAGCGACAGGAGCTCACTCCGTCGCGTGGATTCGATCTTACGACTGCTTGGTCTTCTGACCCTGCAGCACAGAGGCTTCTGCGGTTTAGCCCGCAGCGCCACGGCTCGTCGAGAAGTTACCTTTCACTGTAAAACAAGTGGCATTACCATGCAGTCATAGCACGACTTAGTTATGTCCTGTTTCTGGCAAATAATGGTGTGATTTTATTATTGCAAGGGGAAAAAAAAGAATTACAAGGAACTTGTCATTTGTAACTGGTGAGTTCCAAGTTCTGGATTTGTTTCTTGAGCAGTGAAGACTATATTACTGGGGAGGACCAAGTTCAGAGTGTGGCGTCCCAGTGAGCAGGGCTGTTTCTGTTCTCATCCTCTACTTCCATCATCCTCTCATTTTTTTTGAGAAAAGCTTTGTACCTGAACAAGGTGTGGGAGCAAATAAACAACAGGTGTGGCTGTTCTAGTCACATTTTCCTGCAAATGTGGGCTTTTCCCAGTCTTTCCAGCTTGAGCCGGTCGCTATGCTTTTCAAGAAGCAAATGTCATCATTACCCTTGATCGGAAAAGTACCTGGTCTGGTTTCCTGCCTTTTTTGCTTCCTCGTCCTTTTTTGAACAGGGCTAACCGTCGCCTTAGCTGTTGCAACATAATGGGATCCCGTGCCTTCTGTAAAACAAGGGTGATTTAACAGGCTGCAATAGCCTCATAGGTGTAGAACAGAGTTCACCTGCCCCTTGTCCTCCAGGTGTGTTGGACTACAGCTTCCACCAACTCTAACTGTAAGCCGTGCTGGGCTGGGGAGAATGGGAGTTGTACTTCAGTTGAATCTCAAGGGGAACTCATTGATGGAAACTAATTTCAAGCCTATCAAAAAAACCCTCCTGCTTGCCTTTGTTTTGGCATTTGTAATTTGTCATTATCCCCAGTTGTTTAGTCATTAAGTCGTGTCCGGCTCATTTTGGACAGGATCAGACCTGTTTGTCATTTCCCCCAGTTGTTGTTTAGTCATTAAGTCGTGTCCGGCTCGTCGAGACCCCATGGACCAGAGCATGCCAGTCCCTCCCATCTTCCAATGCCTCCCGTAGTTGGGTCAAATTCATGTTGGTTGCTTCGATGACCTTGTCCAACCATATCGTCCTCTGTCCTCCCGTTCTCCTCTTGCCTTCACACTTTCCCAACATCAGGATCTTTTCCAGGGAGTCTTCTCTTCTCATGAGATGGCCAAAGTACTGGAGCCTCCGTTTCAGGATCTCTCCTTCCACTGAGCATTCAGGGTAACATGCCTCAAAAGACAGCTTAGAACCAGTATTTTGCTGACAGGTGTGTTGAAGGGAGAATGAGGAAAACAATTAGTGTATATCATGAGGCAAGAGGGGCCTTAATAGAGATAATGGTGCTGCATGCCTCAAAAGGCAGCTTAGAAGCAGTATTTTGCTGACAGGTGTGGTGAAGGGAGAATGAGGGAAAAATTTAGTGTATATCATGAGGCGAGAGGGGCCTTAATAGAGATAATGGTGCTGCTGGGGCTCCTACCTTTAGCCTTGTTGAAGGCTAAAAATAACTTCTGAATCTTCTGGGGTTCCTGCTTGGTCCTTCACTTTCAACAGAATGAACCATTGGAGATGGGTGGATAAAAACTACAGGGATGAATTTGAGCACATCAAGTGAAAGAGTCAACTGGTTTCAATGGTATAATTGTGTGAGCCAACTGGAATGATGGGAGTACGTAATTAAAAAAGAAAAGAAAAAAAGAACTCACCTGAAATCTTTAAGGTTAGTAGGTGAAACAGAAGGAAAAATTCTGCCCCTCCCATCTTTCCTAAGCAAATTAGCCTGAAGTTTCTCAGAAGGAGGAAGGAAATTTGGGCATAGTTGAAAATGAAAGCTCTCCCGGCCTGAGTTCAGTAAGGCTGCTATAGGACGCCAGCCCTTTGTAACTTCTGACTGCTTGAGCAGCTGCGAGACCATTAAGGCTGGGCCTGCAGCTTGATGGCACTCTGTCAGTGGTTCCCAACTATCGGTTCCCAGATATTCTTGAACTGCAACTCCCAGAAATCCTGGCCAGTGCTGGTGGTGGATGCTTCTGAGAGTTTTAGTCCAAGAATATCTGGGGACCATTACAGTCCACCTGGACCTATGGGTGGTTCTGCACAGTCCCTCAGGCTTCGCTCATTCCACAGGTTGGTTCTGCTGCTCAGAGTTATGGAGCCAGGTGAATTCCTAACCCTCCACAGGCCACCTGATCTCTCTTCATAGGAAAGCTGCAGTACCACCTCTGGCCATTTGCACTGGAGACTCTGCAGGCATCAAGCCAGCACTTCCATCTGCTAGCAAGTTCTTCTGGTGTCCCTGAGGAGGTGATACGGCAGAACCCCTGGCCCAGGTTCCCCTGCCACCTCGTGTGGAGTCGATGTAATGGATGTGTGTGTGTGCACATTGAGCTTGGACACCGGTGTTTCCTGTATCTAATGTGGAAAGTATCAGATGCATACACAACCATGCAGCCGGGGGCCCTGACTGGGTTGCTCTTTTGTTGTGAGTGCATCACTAGCAATAGGGATACCCAGTGTGTGTTGAGAATTTTGGTTAAATGTGTATTCTCAGAACATAAGCAGAGTTTAGGAGATATCAGGGTGCATAGACCATATAACACTGAGAGAGCAAATTATCAACTTAGTTTATTCACATATATACAGAGAGAATAGACATTCATCTGACAGCGTCACATGACATGATACAACACACAGTGTAGAAGTAAGTCATCAGACTTACAGCAGATTGCATGTTCTCTTTACACATGACTTCTATACATACATTCCTGGGACCAATGAGAAAATACATTGCTTCATTTTCTACTTACATAAGGTTACATCATATACAACAGCTGTACAACATTAAATCTCAAACCTTGGTACACACACCTGAATACAATCGGTACATGACTCAGTTAAAATCAGCCGTTTCACTCTACAACATTTCTGTTGAATACAGGGTCACATCAAAATCTCAAGAGTGTGGCTAGGAGATAGAGTGATGGAGAGACTCTAAAGCATACCAAGGTGAACCTGGATTTGAGTTCCTTATGGTCACTTAGGTATGCTCTGTGTTCCTGCACTCCTCCTGTCTTTTAAACACCCCCCACCCCCCAGTCTGGTAGTGCTGGCTTGAAGCTGGAGCTCAGAGCTTGAGTGCGGCATGTTGTAACGGAAGCGATGCGAGGAAAAATCCCACCCTTGGCTGGTTGATTTCTTCCCTCTTCCGATCCTAGAATACAGCCAAAAGATGAACGAGCCGCGGCTCTCCTGCCAGATCCCAGAGAGAGAGAGAGAGCCTGACCAGATGTTCTGCTTGGGTGGAAGATCAGTGGAGAACCCAATAGAAACCTCTGCACATTTTTTCAGAAGAATGGAAAGGCAGCGATGGAAGAGCATGAGCATCTGAAGAAAGTCTCCGAGAAACTCTCACCCTACGAAGGAACACGGGGGGCGGGGGGCGGGGAGAGAAAGATATCATGATCTTGTGTGGGCTTCTCTGGGTCGTTTACGCATCCTGGCTTGTTTTCTTCAATAAAACATTTGCTTTACGTCTTTCCCCGTTTCTGGAAAAAAAAAATTAATGCTCAACAGCGACTTTCTCTTAAACCTGGAGGCCAGAACCACTTCCTTCTTTTGGAAATTGGCTTTCCTGGAGATGATGATGTGCCCTGGTTTCCAGAAATGGGAAACATTTGTTTTGCGGGCTACAGCCCCTAAAATCCTGAAGCCGGCGGAACCACTGGCCGAACGGGCTGTGGAATTCTGGGAGTTGTAGTCCAAACCTCAGAAGGCTTCCTTCTCTGCTCTTCTCTGTATCATCGATTCTCAGGCAGGAGGTTTGCCATACAAGATATCAGCCACTGTATAGAACTGTACCCATGGATGGCGAGATCCTGGGTTTTTACCCCAAAACAGATTCTCTCTCTCTCTTTTTAACAGGAGCAGTGTATTTACCAAGGTCTGACCTGGTCTTTAAAGGAAATTAAATATTTTAACGAATACGAGCACTTAAAAGGGGACTATTTATATAACGTGAAAAAGTTAAAATTTTGACCCCAACATAAGAAATGCCAGGAAATTCAAACACTTTTATTTGCATTTCATAAATAGAGTGTATTTTCCACCATTTTTTGTGTATTATGGCCGCCATAGATTTTTCTTGTAAATTTGGGGGTTTGTTTTGATTTTAGCAGATGTGCATAATGGAGGTTGACCGTGTGTCTGTTCCCTCTTGCGGTCTGGAGGGATACAGAAATGCTGTTATTTGTTTCATGGAGATGATGATGATAATGATGATGATGATGATGATGATGATGATGATGATTATTATTATTAAAATACTGTTACTTACTTCCAGTTTGGGCCAGCGCTCAGGAGCTGACCCATGGGACTGCCAAAATGGGACGTGAAGTAAGGAAAGGACATTGAAGAGACTGCAAGGTGTATGCATTTTACATGTCTTGTTCCATAGGGAGGGATCTGGAGGTTGGTGATGCCCACCATGGGAAGTCAGAAGACTCCTCAAAGACCAGCGACCCGGATCAGTTCCTTCAGAAGACAGCCAAGGTAATGTTCTCGAGCACTTAGAGGGTCTTCCTTGCCTCCCACCCAACTCCCAGAAATGGAGTTGGCTGAGCTTCCTGCGAGAATCCCTTGTTTTGTTTTTTAAAAAAGATTTTTCTGAGATTTGTGACTACAACGGCCACAGCAGCTTGGGGAGACAAGAGTTTAAATGGGGCAGAATAGAAATGGGTAGACTGCAGACCTCCGCTTGCTTTGAGGACTGCCATGCTACCTTAGATCCCATGGCCAGCTGTCCTGATGGGAGTTGTAGTCCTGCAAAATAGGGTGGGTTGACAAGAGCTTCTCCACATCTGGTTTAAGATGGTCAGACGAGGTGTGTGAGGGCCCAGGTTCAGATCTGCACTTGCCCACAAAGTTTGCTTAGTGGCCTTGTGCTGATTGTTCTCCTTCAGCCTGGCCTGGTGATGGTGAGGATGGGGTGGTATTGGAAGTGTGGCAACCAAAGGCGTTAGCCTTGAGCCCCCTAGAACAAAAGCAGAATATAAGTGTAATGAATACCTCTTTAGCTCTGTCCCTGGGTGGGACCATCTCTTCCCTCCCTCCCCTGACTTGTTTGAGTGCGAGCAATCTTCTTGGGGGAAGTCTCATATTGTGCTCCATATGGCCATGGGCCTAGGCTTTTCCATTCCCCAGCTTCTCTCCAGGATAGTTGGCATACTAAAAAAGATTTCAGGTTGCAATCCGGGACAGAAGGACTCTGTGCCTGGAATCTGGGGAAGGCTGCTACCAGTTCAGATCAGAACATTTATTTACATTCAATTATTTGTGGCATTTCTAGTACACCCCTTGACGTCACGAGATCTTCAAGCGGTTCCCATTAAAAGCAGATATCGTTAAAAGTGCTCATTTAAAGCACTTTAATAATAATAATCAGCAAAGTATAACTGAAGAATGTTTAGAAACATAAGGCCTTTACAACACAGTAATAAGATCTTTGTACACAGATACATGGTTAGCTGGAGTTTGAAGACGAACGCTTTTTCTTTGTGATTAAGAGCATTCCAAAGGATGGGCTCTATCACTAGGAGTTAGGAAGGTGCCAGTTAAATATTTTGGGACCCCCAACTCCCAGGAATCTCTTAAGAATTCCTCAGGCAGAATTCCGGGAGCTCCAGTCCACAGACCCACACTTTAGTTTCTCAGGAGGTACCTATCATAGCAGTGGTTCCCCACCTTGAGTCTCCAGATGTCCTTGGACTATAACTCCCAGAAACCCTGGCTAGCACAGTTCGTGGTGAAGGCTTCTGGGAGCTGTAGTCCAAGAACATCTGGGGACCCAAGGTGGGGAACCACTGCTCTACAGAGCTTAAAGGGCAGTGATGCCCAGGAAGCAGTGTCACAAGAAATGAAAGCATAGAGTGTAGCCTCTGAGGACTGCACCTTGCACCAGGTGCGGGAAACATAGCTGTCTTAAGATGTGGGTCTGTGGAACTCCTAGAATTCTGCCAGTGGAATTCCTGGAGAATTATGGGGAGATGGAGTACAAAAAAAAAATAAATCCAAGTAGCACCTCCCTACTGGGGATACCAGCTGAGATAGAGAGAGTGATCTGACTTGGTATCAGGCGGGTCCATTAATTTGATCCCAATTATTCAACCTTTGGAACCTTGGAAGAAAAGTGGGATTCTGGCTGAAGAAACATGTCTGATCAGGCCATAGATTAATCATGTAGATAAGATGTGAGAGCACGGCTTGCCGCCCCCCCCCCAATCTGAATGCTGGCGCATGGCATCCAAGCGCATTAACCTCTTCCCCGGCCCTTGCTGACATTACGTCAGCTCTGGAAAAGGTGCTGGCACGTCCCTTTGGCCTGATATTTTGTGTACTTGGCTCAGGCTGGTGTGGAATATGAAGCAGGTGTCGCTATGCTCTGAACGTATGTGGCAACGCATGCGGCAACTCCTGACTTCATGAACAAGACAATGTAGAAGGATGATTGTACAGCCTGTCCCGGAGGACTTTCCTTTTGGAATGTTCTCCTCTCCAGTGGATTAATGTGGCTCATCACCTCTAGGCATGGGACCCACAAGCAACTTTTGGTGGACTGTTCTTTAAAATGTGACGGAGCTCATTGCCTTCGTAAGTGGGGAATTGTTTCTTGAGCTTTCCTTTCTTGCCCTAACAACTGGAGTTCAGAAGATCTTTCCATCATTGCTCCCATGTCTCTTTTCCAGGTGGTCTACATCTTGGAGAAGAAACATTCCAGGGCTGTCACGGGTTTCATCCGGCTCCTGGCTGACCGCAACAGCGAGCTTTTCAAGAAGTGTGCCATGTTCTCCCCCGTGGACCACAGGGTGCCTCGCACTCACGTGCCCTTGGCTGAATGCCCGCCAGATTTTGCCACCAGGCCCGAGGACTACGCCAACACCCTCTTCATCTGCCGTATCATGGACTGGAAGGAGGACAGCAATTTTGCCGTCGGGTATGTGTTTGCTGGAGGAAAGACGTGCCCTAAGGTTGTTAAGGAAGGCGCCTGCAGCCTTTGGATAGAATATAGGTGCAAACATGCTGAGGGTTCTGGGAGCCCCATAGCTAAACGGCTGTGCTGCAGTCAAAGAGTCTGCTCATGGCTTGATCCTGATCATGACTGGCTTAGGTAGCCGGCTCAAGGTTGACTCAACCTTCCACCTTTCTGAGGTTGGTAAACTGAGTACCCAACTTGCTGTGAGGGAGGCGGGCAATGTACAGTCTGCTTCACTAAATTGTAAACTGCCCAGAGAGTGCTTTTAAGCGCTGTGGGGCGGGATATAAGCAGCGCGCTTTGCTTTTGTTTTCTTTGCCGTGTCTTGGCTGTGTAGCATAATACCACCGCACAACTCTTGTAGGAGAGGCTTCTGCTGGAGGTGTAGAGGGTTGCTACTTGTCCATGGGGCAGTAGTAGGCTAGAGTACTGCAAATCAGTGAGCGGCTCTCATTAGGTTTTAGGCCACAATCTAGGAGTGCTGGCCCCTAGAAGGCATTATGTGGCCAAACCCTAGGCTAGCTAAATAGATGGTTTTGTCTCAATGTAAAGACGGTTTCACACATCAGTGTGTTTTGCCCATGGGAAAAAAATCATTCTGTCCAGCTCAACTACATGAGCTGGAATGGTCGGTGTCAAGGCTGGGCACCTCCATAGCCTCAATGATGGCTGGTGCCAAGCCAAGCCCGAGATCGGTTGGTTGCCCTGGCCAAAGTTTTGGCACAGAAGGGGGAGGGAAGGCCTGTGACTCTCATCAGTGTCTCACGTGTTGTTTGCCAGCCTTCTGCCTTCCATTTTTTCATTTTGCATCCTTAAGTGAAGTTGTTCCTGATATTTCTTGTGACTGCTTTGTGCCAACAAACTGCCAACCTAGCTGTTGGAAAGCACGTAAAAAATGCGAGTCGATAACTAGGTACCACCTCGGTGGGAAGGTCATGGCATTCTGTGTCTAGTTGCGCTGGCCACGTGACCACGGAAATGGTCTTCGGACAAAACGCTGGCTCTACGGAAACGGGGATGAGCACCGCTCCCTAGAGTAGGACACGGCTGGACTCAATGTCAAGGGGAACCTTTACTTTACTATTCTCTCTCTCTCCCTCTCTCTGTCTGTCTGTTGTTTGTCTGTCTGGTTCTTCTTCTTTGTACTGATTCTTCCCTCCTTAGACTCCACTGCCTCCCAGTGCTTCTTTCCTGGACCCAACTCTCCATGGCAAGGGTGGAGAGCCTGTGGTTCTCCAGAAGATAGTAGACCCCATTCCCACCAGCATGGCCAGTCGCTGCAGCCTGGTCATCATCCTTGGAGGACAATAGATTCCCCCACCCTTCTGGTTCTAGACTCACTTGTCCTAAGCTTGGGCTGATGTTACCAGCTCAGGCTCTCTTGATGCCTAAGGTTGCCATTGGGAAGTTGGAGAAGATCCGCTGACCTGCGGATTGTCCTGACTAGATGATGGTATGGGAAGGTGATGATCAAAAGGCCAGTGAGACTTTCTTTGCAGCTTGCTGTGTGTGTGTGCGTGCGTGCGTGCGTGCGTGCGCGTGTAACGTAAGTTCATACTCTGATTAGTTTTTAATTTTGTCCTCTGTGACATTGGTCCTTATCCTTCATTTTTCTTGGCAAGGGCTGGTCTCTCTGTTTGCTGATCCAGAGCGCATGGTGCTGTGCTCTCTACTGAATCAGACCCTGGTCCCTCGAATCCAGTGGGCCGTCGTGGCTCTCCAGGGTTTCCGGCTGGATTCTTTCCCGCCCTCCCTGGAGGCCCCTGCTCTTTGCCAGGACTCTCCCTTCCAAAGACTTAACCCATCCTGACCCTGCTTCGCTTCCGAGATAGGGTGTCTTCTGGGTAAGACATACCTGGCATGGAGCAAGTGATGTTTCTGCCTTGGCCCTGCTGTCGGGGGATGTGCTGGAGGAACAGGATATCATTGTGTGAAGTGCACTTTGGAATGCTATGCCATCCAGGTGTGGGGGAAACCCAGCTGTCTCCTGCAGGTGTGTTTTTAGGGGAGGGGGCTCACTTGTGTGACTCTCGGGTGCCACCTAGTGCTCAACGGCGACGGTCTTTGCTTTCCAAAGGTGGCCGTGCTGCCCGGCTTAACTGAGACAGGGAGAGGGTGTTCCTTGATAGTTCTCCTATGGAAACATCTGGGAAGTGGGAGAGAATGAAGGTGGGACTCCATGGAAGAATCCCCCTCCCCTCCAAGATCAAGACACAGGTTGGACATTAGGATTGTTACGTGGCAGTTGGCTAGGTCACCATGCCCTCCGTTGCAAGCCGAGGCGCTGCAGGGAGCAGAGGAGAAGCAGGTGTGGATGGGGGCCACTTTTCGAGCATTCTGCTCCTCTGAAAGATGGGCTCGGGTGACAATGTCTCCTGGCCGACCAGACCCGCTGATGCATCATCATCATCTCATCCCTTTCTCCCACCTTTGGGTCACTCTGTGAAAGAGCTGAGTTTTGGTTGCCCTTTTGGCTTGGAGACCAGGAGGGAAGAGAGTTTTAGTTGCCATTTCTTCAGCAGCCCTTTTGGCTTGGAGACCAGGAGGGAAGGGGTGAGAACCTCACTTCTATTGTCTCTCGTCCGAGACCTTTATCGAATCGATAGGACCCTGATGTCCCCACGGATGTTTCGGGTGCCCTTGGTGACGGGCAGTTTTTCCCCTTCCTGCTCTTGAACGGCGGTGCTCCTTCTTCAGGGGAAGGCATACTTGGATGCATAGGTGCCCCCGGTGACTTTGGTCACTGCAACCCTAGCATTTTAGGGCCGGCTTTCCACTAAACAGGAAGGATGTATGGATTTGTGCCTCCCTCCAACCCTGGCAGGAGGGTTGGTTCACTTAGGGGTGATTTATGCCCAAAGACCCCTGACATTTTAGGGTTTTATGGTGTATTCCTTCCTTCACCCAGTTGGCTAATGTTTTGAGGAACTGGGAAAGTGAAAGCAGGGGTGGGCAATGTGTGGTCCATGGATTGTATGAGCCCCTTCCCCGGTTTCTGTTACCTTCTGTTACCTCTTCCGGCAGATTCAGTGGCATGCTGTCAGAATCCATTGGAACAGAACCAGTAGCACCAGCAGTAAAGCAATACCGCAGCTCCTCTGTATTTTTTTCTTTTTTGGGGGGGGAGGGTCTTCTTTAATAAAATCATATACGTACTTCTTTGTGCACCATGTGTTGTATTAGAACTGGCTTCTCCCATTTCTGCGACTTTAGTTCTGCTATGTGTGCGCGCATGGGCGTGAGTTTGAGCATCCTTGGTGGGTTGGTGGAGGTTGTATCGAAGGCTCCACCAAGCCTGTCGTCATTGCCTGTCCCTGCATGAAGCACTGGCTGGTCCTTGTCATAGATATATGGAAGTGTCCTGCCCTACTTGTGGTTTGTTCAATCATTTATTTCATTTCTAATTAAATTCCCAGTTCATTGGATGTTCGTTGTTGTTTTTTCTTATCTGCGGTCAAGTTGCCTCCAACTCGTAGAGACCTTATCATTGAATGACCCTGTGCAGATTTTACACTGAAGGATGTGGGTTCCATTATTGAGTCAGTCCATGTCATATCCAGTCCTCCTCTTTTCCCATTGTCTTCAAGTTCTCTTAGCACAGTTGTCTTTGCAAGTGAATCTTGTCTTCTCACAGATGTTTGCCGTTTACCTGTTGGAACGATCCTACCTGGTGCCTTTGATTCCCATCTGTGCTCCTGTTAGTAGGGCACCGTTTCTCCCCTCCTTCTTCGATTCAGTACATGAGTGCTTCCCCTCTCCATGTAGCAAAATGAAATCAAAATGCTAATTGGCCTGTTGGGCTTGTCTATATTTAAAAAACCCAACACATGTGAGTTAGCAATGAAGGCAAACGAAAGCCTGCACCAGTGCATATTCAAACCTTTTTGTATCATGCATTGGAAAATCACCCGAAAATGGGAGATGTCCCCCCTAAGGATGTCAAAGACACTTGTGAAAAGCTTTTTTATTCTAGCTCAGAGACACCACAAAACTGTTCTGGATAAGACAGTGAATTTGATTCCTCATTTTGCCTCCTTGACAGGAGGCAAAATGAACTCGATGATCCACAGGGTCCCTTCCAGCTCTACAGTTCTAAGATTATGATGATAATAATGATGATTCAACAGTCTGAGAAATTCTAGGTTGAAATCTCTCTCTTCCCAGGTTTGGGCTCCCCTTTTCTTTGTGTAAGGAGACCGAAAGGATGCCGGTGGCAGGAGAGCTGTTGCAAATCATCCCAGCCCCCAAATGATGACGTGTGATCTTTTCTCCTATTGGCTGGGATCCAGCAACGGCAGAGAAAAACCAAGCCTTCTGTAATCCCCCTTGAGTGCCTGGGATTTGCACCTTGCGAGCAGAGGGTGGTAGCCCTGCGCTTGTCCCGTGTAGCATCTGAAATCTTCTCCTTCAGAGGACCGGCCCGTGCATTCGGCCCATGGGGCCCCCCTGGCTTCCCCTGCTGCCTCTTCTCAACCCCCTCATGTTTTTGTCTCTTCTTCTACTTCCAGTTGGTGTTGAAGGAAGGTGGCGTATTCCAGTCCTGGCAAACATGATGATTCAACAGTCTGAGAAATTCTAGGTTGAAATCTCTCTCTTCCCAGGTTTGGGCTCCCCTTTTCTTTGTGTAAGGAGACCGAAAGGATGCCGGTGGCAGGAGAGCTGTTGCAAATCATCCCAGCCCCCAAATGATGATGTGTGATCTTTTCTCCTATTGGCTGTGATCCAGCAACGGCGGAGAGAAACCAAGCCTTCTGTAATCCCCCTTGAGTGCCTGGGATTTGCACCTTGCGAGCAGAGGGTGGTAGCCCTGCGCTTGTCCCGTGTAGCATCTGAAATCTTCTCCTTCAGAGGACCGGCCCGTGCATTCGGCCCATGGGGCCCCCCTGGCTTCCCCTGCTGCCTCTTCTCAACCCCGTCTCTTGTTTCTGGGCTCATGCTTTTGTTTCTTCTTCCAGTTGGTG